ATACGTAACAATACTAATTTTATACATATTTCTGGGCTGTTAATATAATCGTGATAGTATTTCTCCACGCATACGAAAAATCCTACATTGCACGATACTGAATCATTATCATTTAAAAGAAGAGATTGTATAGTTTGTATTGACAGTTGAGTCATGCATGGAGATTTTTCTCTGTGTCATTTTATCGATAAGAACGGAAAAAAGTTGTTTCTCCTTACTGACACAATTACTATGAAAATATACCTTTACTTTCCGATCTTCAACAACACTAACATGACGCATAGCTCTGGACGAACATTGAAACAAGATGACAAACAGTGTATTATTTTTCTTCTACCTCGAACTTTTAATGTCAAATGTTTGCAGAAACATCATGCGACAAAACGATTACTAGAAACAAAGCAGATGCTACTCTTTGAAAGCACCAAAGAATACTATGCTTTCTTTTCTTTTTGAATTATACACTATAGCAAGTATATTAAAACCACAAACTTTCATACGCAGTGTCTCATAATGATTTCACGATTGTTCAATTGAAGGTAACCTTCAGAAACACTCGATCTGAATTCTCTATTCCTGGCATTGTCATGTAATAATGCTATTATAATCGAAGGCTGTTTCATTAATATACCAGGATTATAATGAGAATAGAACTGACAATAGTTTGATTCAAAACAGACAGAGAAGAATCGAACTTTTATTATTATTTTTGCTCTTGTTCAATATAAAATGCAAAAAACGACTCTCACTTGACCATCTACAGTGGGTACCCCTTGGAATCGGTGTTTCATTACAAAAAAATTTTGACAATAAGGACTATCGATTCTAGGCTCGACTTTAAGTCTTGTATGGTTCTGCCATAAATATCAAGGAAAAGTCGATTTTTTCAAAAATAAAACAAAATCTAAATGCTTTTAAATAGTCATTTTTGAAGGTAGAAGTCGATTGATTCTAAATAGAGTGAAATATAAGGCTGCATATTTTCTCACGAGATACTAGAGACGTTTATAAAGATGCCAATAAAAGTATGCTTTGAGATATGCTCGAACAATCTGTATTCGACAAGATATTTTTAACTTGATTAACTTTACATTCAATTACAGAATATTATAATACTGAATTTTTCATGCTGATGACGAATCTGAAGTCACATTTTTGACTTGGATGAACATAAAATATGTAGTATCCTGATTATGACTCAAAATCAATAGATATATGCATCATCGATCAACATTTGTAGTATGAACTAACTATTTTCATTCGTGTTTTGGTCTCATTAAGTAATATCTTAAATGATAAAGACTTTTGAGACCTTTTTAAATATATAAACGATATTTTCACATAGTAAGGTTGCATGTGATCAGAACCAAAATATTGGAGAATCTTCGTTTTAGCCATGCATAATTTTTTTTTCACGTATATTGGCATTATCAATGAATGAAGACTCAACGATTTCACTATATGTTACGCCATCTATTATGTAAACGCTGCTATGTTTGTTGAATGAATCTATTCGACAAACGCCTATATTCGATGAAAGTCTTGCATAATTTTGTTGATACTGTATCTTTTTCTCTAGTTATTATATGCGTGTAACAACATGTGACTACTCAATGATTCATACAAACTTGCTGTCGTTTTTTCAAAATAAATAGTTGCTTGTATTTGAAACATATTCAATCGTATTCGATAAGGAAGGCAAAAAAGCATAGGAGAGAGGTAATAAAGCACAGTTGTGTCTGTTTGACGGAGAATGAAGAGATGACAAAAAAAAAGAATTTTCATTCACAGCACATCAATTCAGATGAAGAGTTAAAGATGGAATTGGAGTTGTTGCCTAACGAATTATTACTTCATTTATTCGAGTGTCTCAACAGTGTTCAACTTGTTCGTGCGTTTCATGGCCTTAATTCTCGTTTGAACAATCTTCTCGCTATGCATTTTCAATCGAACACTCTTGACTTTCGATCTGCTTCAAAAACTGATTTCACTATAGTTTGCCAGCAACATCTGGGATTAATTTTTGATTGGATTTTCTCACTGCATCTGTCTGATGACGACGAAACTCCACAACAAACAACTTGCTTTCTTTCCCATAATTTGACTCTTGCTCAATTCATAAATTTACAATCGCTGACATTGTCGCATATTTATTCTAAACAAATAATGGAAGAATTGATGAATGAAATACGTTACTTGTGTCATCTTCAACATCTTCGCATGATTTCTTGTAACTTTCAATCTTCGAACTGCAATAATATTTGGCGTCTACCTAAACTAACTCATTTAAACCTAACAGCTCATCCAAATAACAGAGCAGCTATTTCACCAACAGAGACAATGCCATCCCTCCGCAATCTCTCTATTCAAGGTGAAACAATACAAGTAGCTTCTTTAAAATTACTTCTACAATTTACACCTTGCCTTGAACGTCTTTCTATAAGTCCTGTAGATTATTATCTTACAAAAACGCTATCATTCACTCTGCCATCGATCGATAGATTACATATTTGCTTTGAATCTACAACAAATGGATTAAAATACATTTTGCAATTGGTGCAGAACTTATCTCACCTTACAATCTTGACAGCTCGGAACTATATAGATGGATATCAATGGGAACAATGGATAACCGATTATTTGCCAAAACTCGAAATATTTCAAATGAAGATGCTCTTTGTAATCAATGATTATACTAGAACTGAGGAAAAAGTTGATGAAATTCTTAATTCATTTAAGACTCACTTTTGGATTCACAAACATCGATGGTTCGTTCGATGTCACTGAAGTCGGAAACAGGAATGCAAATCATGGTGTCTTTATACATTACCATATGGCTTTTCGTCGTTTGATGTTTACGCAAATATGGAAATCAAATCGACTAGCCTACACGATGACGACTATCATGCGTATGATCATGTGCAACGTCTACATTATAACTCATGTTTATCTGAAACTTTGTCTCTTTTTCAGTTCCGAAATCTTCGTTATCTTGAATATCTACCAATATATAAAGACAGCTTTTGTTCTAATATACGAACAGATCTATTGACTTCACTCTTTGTTTATTTATGCGATATTACTTTCAAATCTCAAGTGCAAATATTGTTCGATAGATCACCACATCTCTATTCTTTCCAATTACGTACGGACCGCAATCCACTTTCGTTATTCGATGAATTTACAAGTAAATCGATTCGTCAACTTGATCTTCACTCTCCTCATGCATGTTGGAGTGAACAATATTGTACTATATTTAGTCAAACGTCATTGGGTCTTCAATGCGAAGTTCTTGCCATTGCAGTAGAAAATCGAACAGCTATACTTTGTCTAGTGAAGAGCATGAGAAATCTGCGTGCTTTAACAGTTTTCTCTCGCGATGATCCTTGGATTATGAAACTTGATTATGATCGAATTCCTCCAGAAGAAGATAGACATATCAAATGGTTGCAACAACGTTTGCCATCAACATGTACAATATCGAGAATTAAGTCACTCCAGAATAAAGTTCGATTGTGGATTCATTAATAAAACAAACATTTTATTTAAAGTTTTTTATCAGATTTTGGACAAATGACCAAGATTTGAAATCTATCTGTCCCCCTATGTTTTTCGCTATTCTGGAGTCTTCGTTTTTTTTTTGAATGAAACGCCTCTTAATTGGCAAACAAAATAGATTATGTATCTATGGAAGAAAACCATTTTGTATTTATCTTTGTTGCATAGTTTCAGATGTCAGCAATATATAGATCCAAAAACGAAAACGCCAATTACACTTCTCATATAATACAGAAAGTAAGAAACTTGATAAGTGAATATTAATTTCGTCACATGATATCATTGATACTTGTTTACAGGTGTGTTGCTTTCGTTTCTGATTCTTTCTCTATCGATGTATTCTACTATTTTTTGCCCTTACATCATCAAAATAACGGCACGTGAAGAAAGTCTTGTCGATCTGAATACTATCAATTTCTGAAATAGCCATGTCACCTCCTATTCAAACCATTTTGTTATTCACATGTATTATTTTCCAATTGGTAATAAAACTATTAAATATAGTGAAATTCATTTATGTGATTTACTGTCAATAGAAGACCTAGATTTTTTTGATATTAAAATGTGGGGTGTGGCATTATCACCTATTTGGTGACATGCTGACTTTTATCGTAACTCTCATGAATATTATATTCTATTGGACACAGGTTCTTGACCGAAAATTGCTCTTACTATGAAAGGCAACGATACACACCTAGTGTACAAGTTACTTAAGGAAAAGATGAAGGTGACGCAATGATTACATAATTCACTGTGATGTATTATTCTATACCAATCCATCATTTATTCAATGGATGTGAAACACATTGAGTAATGCATAGAGATAGGATGTATTGACTTTCTGTACATATTTTCTCCATTATTCGTAACCAACAATTAATCTCTCACATAAAAAAAAAACTTTCTCATCAATGAATAGAGCTCATGTTTGTTCTCTTTTCTATTTTCAGTCAGACTATTTCATTAATACATATTATGCTTTTTGGGTGTTAGTGCCGCTGAGTAGTGGATGCACGTGAGGCTTGCAAATACATTAATATCTCATGTACTCTATCGAAGTTAGTTTTTTAGTGAGGACAGAATGGAAGCTTAATGGCACTTTGCTTAGTCAATAATAGTTGGCTTTTACCGTTCTTTTACCTCTAAAATTTATGAATCATTGTCCGTGCAACATGTGACATGACGTCAGTTTACTTCCGTACGTCAGAAAAAGTGATTGCTACTCACTGTCGAAATTATTTTGATGCATGACAATGCATATGCAACGAAGGAGCTATTCATTGGTAGTAAAGGAAAGTCTTTCAATCATACGCCAACACCTATACGAACTGGTTTATCATGATAAATCGAGCGAACTCGATACGTATTTACACGAGAGACCTCGTATGTCCAATATTTTTGCTGCGGTGAATCGATTAAACAACGAGTACCTTAGTCTACTGATGCTAGCAAGTTTACATGGATATGACGCCGTCGTACGTGTCTTACTTGCTCATTGTTCTGCTGATATCAATCAAACTGAACTTAAAGGACGTGTACATAGCATCAATGGAGATTTAGTACATAACGCAACGGCTCTATGGTGCGCACTTGATCGAGCTCACTATGTTGTAGCAAAAAGTTTGCTTGATCTAGGTAAAGCTAACGTGAATAACGGTCCATGTCATCCACTTTTAATTGATGCTATCATCAGAGAACGATTCGACATCGTTTGCTTCTTGGTTGAAAATAGTTATGCTGATGTTAATGAAACAGTCACCAATAATCAGAGCAAATGTAGCAGTCTTATGGTAGCCGCCGCCAAAGGCAATACACAGATCATGACCTATCTCATAGAAAAAGGCGCTAAACTTGATTATAGAACTTGTATTCATGAAAACACACCACTTGCTGTTGCCGTTATAGAAGGTCATCTAGCACCAGTAAGATTACTATGTTTAGCGGGTGCCTCTTCTAGTGTAAGAAATCGTTATGGAAAGACTCCATTGATACTAGCAGCTGAGAATCATCGACTAGATGTAGTTGAGTTTTTACTCGAATATAATCACGATGAAACAACCTTCGATGAGCTTGAACTACTTGCTTCTTCCTACATGGTCTCCAATAGTGGTGATGAACGTCAGCAATCTGAATGGATGATAGGCCTTTTGCGACGATCAATAGAAAGACGTGTGCTACTCAATATACCAAAAAAAGTTACTCAGCCTATTGCTGCTTATGACTTTCATAGAGAATGCCAGTCTCTCGATGATCTGGACAAGATCGGACACGACAACAATCGTCTATATATTGAGGCATTACTTATTCGTGAACGTATTCTTATACCTGAAAAAAATGAATTATTGTTTGACCCATTACTCAAGAGAGTAATCCTACTTGTCGAAAGGAATGAGTTCGATCGTGGCCTACATTTAGCATTTCATACATTTAATCTGTATCAACAAATGGAACTTGACACAAATCTTCATCGCTTCGTTTGGATTTTCTGCAGAATACTAACTGCACAAGTGCCTTTCCCTGTTGATCATTTCTTGAAGGCATGCCATCTGATCTTTGAGCCATCGCAACAGGAAATGAATGCAAGCAATTTAAACAATGCACTGTATCTAATAGTCATTGCAACCAAGGTATGAAGTAGCTTGCACACAACTATTGAAGAGAATTTTAAAAAATACTTGTCGTGAATGTCAAACTTTCTGTTTCGAAAGTAATCTTTGATGATTTCTTTTCTATTCATTGTAAAGAATTCTATCATGGAAAACCATTAAGCTACTATTTAAATTCTGTTTTAGGTTCTTGAGCAAAGAACAGTGAGCAATACAGATCGTCGTGCTATCATTCAATGGGTCCAAACTCTATGCCGCCAGCAGCGTACAACACCAAAAGGACAAACCATATTACATCTCTGTGTCGACTCAGGAACAAGTCACAATATAAACTATCGGTTAGCGGACATCAGACCCCTAATTGTGTAAGTGACGTTGAATATGATTTTACAGTGAAAGAATAAAAAATTGTTTCGTCAGATCAATAGCTTAATCTATGAAAGTAGCTTATTTCTTTATGTACAATAAACTGCTGAGCATCTGGAATTTCTGTTTTCTAGATTTCCAAATCTATCTACTACGAGACTTCTTCTTACGTACGGGAAACAATGGATTGATTTGGATGCTATCAATACAATAGGATGTGATACTGCCCTACACGTGATTTCTCGTTGTTCGAAACGAGATACCAATACAAATCCGGTAGCGATTGTCGAACTACTAATCAATGCAGGAGCTCATGTTGATTGCGTTAATCAATATGGTGAGACACCACTCTCTGTAGCTATCCGAAATGAAATCAAAGACTTTTTACGACTGAAACAAATTCCATCATCATTGAAATGTCTTTGTGCACGTTTGATTGCTAAACATCAACTAGCCTATGAATGCTTATGGCCGACACAAACACCATTGAATACTTTCGTTCTGTTACATGGTGGTTTGGGACGTGAGCATTCATGTTCAGAAAGCGATTCAGTGTCAGAAATTGATTAGTATGATAGCAACGATATGGATTTTGATGGCTTACCATCTGACTAATTCGACATATAATTGAATTTTGATTGAAATGAATAGTAATTAAATATTAACAAAAATTTTCTAAATATCACTCATTAAGAAAAATGCAATTTTGTCATTATTTAAGAACTATAGGTGTTTGAAGTACCAAGTATAAATGCTTATCCAAAATCTAATATAAGTATAACAGTTTATCGCAGTCTTTCTCACTAACAAAATGCAAAAATAACACGTGTTCGTGAATTATTTATCTTTAGTTGATCGCAGTTCAGTCCAACATTTATCTAAATAAATAAGTTTTAGTGCTATGTAGAGTAAGAGGACAGCATAAGTCCATCATACTTTCTATTTATCAAACGTCCACTATCAACTGTTGAGTTTCTTATACGAAGAATGACAGCAACAGTTTTTCATAAAAGATACCAACAATGTCATATTTCAAATGAAATAATATGAAAGAAATACCGAAAAAGATTCAATATAGAGTGGTATGTGACATGTGAATAATATACTTGTAACATAATTGATTCCATAACTTAGATACCGAGTTGACCAACACTTTGGTGTTCAGATTTCCATCATAAGTCAAAATCATACAAATCAGTTTCGATTGAGAGATTTGTAATGATATTTGTTCGTTTAAGATAATTAAATCAAGCATTGAAAATTTATCGACAGTCAACCGCATAAGAGGCTAGTACGGGCTTTGCTAGATCCTCACTGAATAGTCATCCTATTAACAAAACATACAAGATGCATAAGCTGAATATTTTCGAGATGGCTCGACAAAGCATGCAGATAATTTAATAAAATTAACATTGGTCGACAAAAAAATAAGAATTGAAACATCCAAGTTCAATCTGTATTTTATTGTACATGAATGCATCTTTGAAAATAGCATTATTCAAATTATAAAACTAATTATTATTTCGATCCAAGAAATAATAATTTGATAAGAAAATAAAAGATTGGTCAAGGGTGGAGCTGCTGGTAAAGAGAAGATCAATATCGACACCTAAACCCAGACCCACATTTACGTTTTTTTGTTTATAGAAAGAGTTAACGACATTTACACACGTATCAGCCATCACTTTTTGCGAATGAAAGCAAGGTTGATAATTGTGGCTCTAACAAGTAACGTTTAATTCTAAGTTCATCCATCTCGAATACGATCGAATGGGAATCATATACATAAACATAGTGTATGTAACATGTGGATTGGCTAATATAATTGATACGAACTATAAGGCTGAAAGCAGACGAATTTTAGAGCAAACGAAAAGCAAATGTTAAAATGGAAAAGAATACCAATGTACAATCAAAAAAGAAAATTAAGATATTTTTTCGTTCTTAAGAGTTCAACCTCTCTATTTATTTTTTGAGAAAGGTTAATTGCAAAAATAATGTGAAACGAACGATTCTTTGAAATACGGAAGTTGAAATCAACCTAGTATCACGAGAGTGACGCATGAAAGTTTCATACACTGCAGTGATATAATACAAAAAAGCACACTTCAAAACTGCATAGATAATGAAAATAACATTTACTCTCTAGATCATTTCATCGTAAAAAGAAATTTATCCGACGAAGAAAAAACTCGAGCACAAGACGCATTCTATCGTAGATAGAAAAAATCAGTTTGTAACCAAGTCCAGTAAATGCAAAAAGAATGTGCGTTCTCATGTATCTCTATGGCAATACCTGTGCTGAGTTACTTTTCTTTGAAAGGAAACTTTAAAAAAGCGTTGAGTTTCGTTCGACGATTCGTAGAGAGTAATTTTTACCCTTCTATGAGTTATCTAAAGAAATGATTGCTGTTAAAGATAAAGTCAAAAAATTACCAAGCAACATAAGAAATGAAATACAAGCGAAATCGTAAATAGAGTTCTCGCATCGAACCAATGAAACACATATAAATAAAAGAAAAGCCTTTTGGATGAAGGCGCCAACAGTTAAGATTAGCAAAAAGCAGAAATTCATAAGGAGCTAACTGATATGATCCGCGTGTATGACGGAGCAGTGAGTGAAAAAATGTGCACCTACTGGCTGATGAAACACGCATGAACAGCACAATAAATTGAGAAGAGAGGAACAAAAATAAGCGAGAGGCTGGATGTGCCTGGAGTATGTTACTATGGATGTGTGGCGAACAAAATACTCGCATAGGCACTATTCTATGTCAATATATTCATCTAGAATTCGAACGAATATTTTCTGACTTTTTATTTTTGAGATAATTACGACAGAAAATGACAATTTCCGATGCATATGGGCTAGCAAATGAAAAGCAATGTTGAGCAAATATTAATGTCTTTCGTTAACTTGCTCACTATCTGCAAATTGACAAACAAAAAGAACTAGAAGAGAAAATGTTTTTTTTTTTATTTTATAACTGAAACCAGGAGACATTATCTCCTAGCACAAAAAAACAGTGGATTTGTAGACTCCTAACTCCAATCTATGCATATAAAGGAATAGTTGAGTTTAGATATGCATCAATTCAAACTCCCAGTCAATTCCAATTTCTACAATTAACTAGAATCGGAATTGATGCAAATCTAATTAGGTTCCAAACCAATACAAAATGTCACTCAGAACTGGAAACTAGAAATTGAAAATAAGCAGTTTCAATGTTCCTAGGATTCATTTTTGATCTAATATATATTTCATGTCTGATAACAAAATATTAATACTCTTTAATTATTCACAAAGATAGTTTTATACATATGGGACAAGTACATTTTGTGTTGGTCTTTTGTTTTATCCATTGGTAATTTTACATTAGAACCTGTCGACTTAGAAATTTTTCGACCTGAACTCTGCCACTAATTTCAATGAATCTTTTAATCTCAATTTGATAATCGCTCCGAAGATGCAAGATACATTGCTGCGATCAACATTATACAATTCTCATATAATGTCTAGAAGGATCTTATAATGATCAAGTCATAATCGATTCACACTTTTAGATAATAATCTGTTACATGATAGGTCCTAGACTACAACGAACTTGACAGGCTCTAATGTTGAGTTTAGATTTAGACAACTGAAAGAGAAGTTGAACTATTCATGAAATAAGAAACAATTATTAAAATGAAATTTCATATAAAATATAAGACACTTTTATTTTATACCAAGTGAAATCCAATTGATCAAATGATGACTATTCCAAAATTTCATTCAAATTTTAGCTTTTCGAAGTATTTGTAGTAGCAGTTAGAATATTATTATTCTAATCAGTGAGACGAAACAATATGCCAATGAATCATGCTGTTTGTATTTTTATTTTCTCTATTCAAACAAAAAAACAACAACTGAAAAAGAAAAAACAACAGAACTGATCTATTAGAAAAAGTGTTGTTTGTAATAAGGTGGTTTTCCACTTGGAGGTAAATCTTCTTTACGACGTTTCATTTTTTCATTTAATGGAATATAATCAGCAAGATCATATTTCCAATTTTCAGCAAGATATTTATATGATGGCCAATTTCTAACATCACTCATTTCTTCATCACGTAATTTTTTATCAAGATGTAATGAACGACGTGGTTCCATTCGATTCCAATGATAATGTTGACGAGCTAATTCAAAATATTCATGTTCACCTGGTGCACGAACATTTTCAAAACTTTCATCAGCAATTGCTTTATCTTGTGAATGCATTATAATTTTTGATTCATTTTCAAAAAAATTTAATAATTCATCACGTTCTTCTAATAAACGAAGACGTTCAATTAAATTAAGTTTTTTTTGTTCAATAACAAAACGATGAATTTGATCATCAAGTTGTTCTTGTCTTTCACGTGTCCATATTGATATTTGTTGTGCATGTTTTATTGTATCATTTTTATCAGCAAATGCAGCTATTTCAATAAGATTTTTTTCAACAAATTCTTTAAGATTTAATGAAACAATTTTATTTTTTTCACGAAGTTGTGGTAAAAGTTTTTCCTATAAAATAAAATTTATTTATTTTCATAAGATAAATGTTTTTCTCTTTTTTTTTTTTTATTATACTTTAATAATATCACGTGCAGCTTCAGGTATTAATTCTAAACGTCGATAAGGACTTTGAGGTAAACGTTCTTTTGCTTCAATTGGATCATAAACATATTCATCAAGTTCTTTTTCCAAAATTTTAACCTAAATCAACGTAAATAAAAAAAACACAGAAAAAAAAAGTTCTTCATTTACAATTGTTTCATCAAGTTGTAATTTATCATTATCTAATATTGTTTGAAGTGTATCACATATACGACCAAATTTTTTATAAAGAATATTTCCCAAAATCTAAGAACAAAAATATTTTTTTAAAAATAACAAAAAATTTTTTAACTATTTCAAAAATTTTACTTGTAATGAAATAATACTACTATTATGTGCATCTCGACTTAAATAAGCAATTGTTTTACCAAGTAATTTACGTTTATCAGTTAAATCAAAATGATCATCATTTGTATGATTACGAACAAAATGAACTTTTACTTTAACCTAAAAAGAAAAAAAAAATCAACATAATAATAAAATATTTATTCAATTAACATACAATATCTTCATCTTCTTCTTCTACTTGTATACTTTTAAAATCTTCATCAGTTGCTATTAAATAATAATTATAACATGCATTTAAACCAAGTGCACGTGTTAATTGATCATCGCCTTCATCTTGTAACATCAAATTTGTACAAACTTCTGCAGCTTCTATTTTAGAAGATTTTTAAAATAATTACTTCTAAATAATAAAACAAAAAAAAAATCAGTTGAAATTTACCTTTATATTTTTTTTCAAGTAAAAATGCATTTAATAAAAGATTAGCTGAAAATCGATCAAGAAAAATTCCATATTTAACCTAAAATTAAATCATAAACTTGATGAATATTTTTGTTTTTAAAAAAATTCTTATTAACTTTATCATGTAAAATAGGTAATAAACGTTCTTTTTGACCAAGATCAAGATAATTACGAACAAATGAATAAGCTAATGAAGGTTGAAATTCAAGAGCTTCAGGTGTATGACGAAATCTAAATAATAAGTCGAGAAAAAAATTTCGAAGAAATATTAAAAAAAAAAACAGAATATTTTTTCTTACTTTTCTAAAATTGTTTCTGTCAATTTAAGATCTTCTGTCGTTTCGACATGAGTCAGTTTTGCTGCCAACTAAACACTTTATATTAGTAAGCAAATATTTTCAAATATAGAGTCGAAAATTTTTTGACCCAAATGAACTCTATCTCATATACATGAATACTTACAATTTCAATATCGAGTGAACTAACATATTTCTTTCGGTTTAATTTATCTTCAACATCAATCAAAAGTTCACCTTTAGAAAACAAAAGAAAAAAAAGAATCAAACTCAATTTTATATTATCGACAATATTAGTTCATACATACTAATATTTGTTTTTTGTAGAATTTCACTTGATAATGATTCATCCCATTTATCAAATGCTTGATAAGCATCTGATAGATACATTCGAACATCTTTTAGAAAAATAAGAAAAAATAAAATGAAATAAAAAAATTTTTTTTTTTTAGTCAATAGAATTTTATTCTTACTTGAACATAAAAATGATCTTTTAATCGCATGATGCGATCCTCTAAGTGTATACTGAGCTAATCGAAACATAGTTTATTTATTATTAATTATCATCTAAATAAAAACTATTTGTTTTCATCTTAATCAATAATTATAAATTAGTTAAAAGCACAAAACAAAATAAAAAAAATTTATTTCAAAACAATAAAAATCATGATTAAACAATTATAATAAAATATAGTCTATTTTAATATCTGTTGATTTGCTTGTGAATAAAAATAATTCAATTTTTGATTTTGTTCATATAATCGAAGAGTTTTGTCCATTAATTCAACTGAGAGACTTTGTATTCTTGACCATCTGTTTGAATTCAGAATGAGAAATTGATTCGAATCTTCAATTGAAGCCTAAAATACAAAAAAAAAATATTAATTAATCATCGTATTTTAATGAACAAAAAAAAATAATAATAAAGTTCAAATACCATTAATTCTTCATTAAGAATCATTTTACAAATAATTTCATATACTTGTTTTATTGATAATTCAAACATGTCAGCTAAATTTGGTATTGAAATAGAATCAAACATCATAGTATTCGAAATTAAATATATACGTAATGATTCTTCTTTTATTTTATTGATAAGCATTTCGAACATTTTTGTTCCTTGCGGCATTAAATTCCATACCTAAATATATATATATTGAATCAAAATTTTCATTCTAGAAAAGTTACGAGGAAATTTTTTCAGATGTCCATGCCTTTCTTAGGTTTACTTGAGAAAATCAATTATCGAATTCGTACTTAAAATTTTGTATAGAGAATGTATTGGCTAAGAGTAATTTATTCTTAAAATTTCGAAGTTTATTGATATAATATGAATAACTAATGTCAAAAATATTTCTATCGATCAACTTACTTGTTTATTCATTTTATTATTAATCAAAGAGTTAATACATCTATTCCAATCGCCTATTTTCAATGCATGACTAGTTGCAATAATATGTTCACGCATTGTTTCCATTGATTCAAAAATTAGTTGTTTTTCACCTTGATTCATTACAATATGAAAATGTTTACTCATTGATTGTTTATGTATAGATGAAATTTCAATAAACATAGCTGATATTAAATAAATACATTCAATTAATTGTACATTAATATGCATATGAAATGGTAATAAATATTGTTGTTTATTCATTTCAGAATTATTTCGAATATTAATATCTTGTCCTAATAATTCTTTCATACGATTTGCTGGTTGTAAATTCATTAATATTTGATATGCTTGATGTATTTCACCAAAACGAAATGCACATAAACCTAATTGAACCATTGTTCGATTATATAAAATTTGTGTAGAAATATTTGAATGATATATTGTTTCTTGTATGTGACTCATTAATATTAAATTACGTGCTTCATTATAATTATCATGTAATGATAAATGATAAATATGATAAAGATTTGCTTGTGTACGTATATGATTTAATGTATTATTTGTATAAATATATTTACAAAAGCGATCCATTAATGAAATAGAAGATTGTTCTGATGTTTTATCATATTTATAATAAATATGTTCCATAACACATAGATAAATTGTACATAAATGTTCTGCTTGAATAATTTTATTATTTTCATGAGATTTTAATTCGAAATAATTTTTTAATTGATTAATTATTGAAAGAATACGTAGTTCATCTTTCAATTGTTCGATATAATTTTGACTCTGATGATCAATATTTCGTAAAATTTTTATAAATTCTTCATTCATTTTCAGAATAATGATTATCATATCATCATGAAGATTATACAATAACGATTCTTCCTATATGATAAACAAAAAGTATATAGAAAAATCCAAATAAATGATGTATAGTTAGTTGCACTCTGAATATTACAGAAAATATTAGAAAGATAGAAATAGGAATATGATGTCTAAATTCTTTTGTTTTCGAATTTCTACCGTTTTCTCAAGTGTTTTAGCTGGAAATGGAGTCTTTCCAACAGAATTCATTGACCTGCGATTGGACATGATTATCATAATACCGTTTCCAACTTCCTAACATTGTATAACCATACAATGATATCTTTCCTCTGAAATTATGAACCTAAGAATGTAATCCTTTTTTTTTGTTTACCTTTATATATTCAGTAATATCTATATGATCATTGTCCGATATTAATGTTACTAATTCTTCAATACAATCAAGAATACTAAAAAAAAACAAAAAGAAACAAGATGATAAGAAGAATATTTCTTTCTTTTTTACCGTGTCCATGTTTCGAATTTTAAATATTCATTTTCTTTTTGATAATAATCAAAACTAATTGTAATTTGTATTAATAAAATTTTCATATCAATTTCAACAGTTAAATTTCGTTTTTTAACATATTGTCGAAGATTAGTTAAATATTCGAATTGATCATAATAATTTGTAGTATGTTTACCACGCATAGAAATAATTTCATTTAATTTTTTCAAAATTTCTTCATATGAAATTTCTTCATCGTTATTAAATTTTTCAAGTTTTGGAATCTAAATTTAACAAAAAATATTATAAATTTATAAAGAATAAATTCATAGAATTTTACATCTTTTTTTAATCTTTTTTCATCGGATAATTGAATAGGTTTAGGTATTTTTGTTGGTCGTTTAGTAGTAGTTTTATTTTGACTATCAGATTTTCGATATAGAAAATAAAAATATAGATCAGTTTCTTTTAAATTGGTGTAAGATTGATTTAGTGATAATTCATCATCACTTGAATCACTTTGATTATCCTGAAAGAAAATACTTAATATTTATTTTTCATAAATATTTTCTTACATTTTCTTGTTTCAAAGTTATTTCTTCTTGATCTTCATTAATTGATGAAGTTTCATTGATTTCAACTACATCATCATCTAGTTTCTAGAATATAACTATGAATATATCAAACAGAAGAAAATTTCAATAACTAACTTCACGATATGCATTTATTTGATTTTGAAATGATTCTACTTGTACATATTGACGAAATTTTTGACGAAGTATTTTCAAATTATTTGAATTCGTTTTTTTGAATTCATTACATTCATCTCTCTTATTCCAACACTATCAATAGTAAAAAAAAAAGCAAATAGAAGAATAAAATTTATGTACAATTGATATTAAATACTTCATTAATAAAATCTTCAAGTTGTACCAATATTTTTATATAAAATCGTGATATTACTAAAAAATAATATCAATATAATTAATCTAATTTTTTTTTGATGTTTTTACTTTGTTCTTTTTCTATTATTCGACGAGCTTTATTATATACTTTGATGAAATTTACAAAACCTATGTATACAATTATCATACAAATAGAAATATAATTCAAAGAAAAAAACATACATTCATAAACTTGATTAATATCACGTATAGATATGACTTGTTTGATTCTTTTAATATTTTCTGTTATTTCTTCATATCTACAAAAATAAAATAAAATTATTTATGTCATTCTTAATATTTTAAAGTATGATTACTGTTTATCTTTTTCACTTCGAACGATACGTTTAGCATTTTCTTTATCATTATTATTGCTAATAAAATATGATTTTGTAAAACTGAAAATAATATCAATATAAATAAGAAAAAGATTTACTTTCATAAAAGAAACACTTACGACTTCGTTGTTTGAATTTTTATTTGTTGTTCATCATTACTGTTTTCTTCGTCTGACGAAGAATTTTCGTCTGCAAAAAAACGATTTTTATTCATGACTTATTTTTAATTTAAATAAAAATTCATCTTACATTAGTTTTTATGTTAAAGTAATATAATTTTGAAATACATAGAAGACTTTTCTTACATGCCTTTGCATCCTAGTTATTTCTACTAATAGTTTCATTGATACGATTAGAAATACGAATCGACATCCAAAGATTGTTGTTTAGATAATTTCAATAGAGAGCGGTAGATGTCGATGACAATCATATGGACAATATTTTGTTCACTTCAACTAAATAAATGCATACCGATCAGTTTCAGTAACTAAATATCAGAAATCGATAAAACGTGAAACAAACCTATAATATGTAAAACCTTTCTATTGTGAATGCTACCAGGACAATTTTTATGAAAGTGTTCACTATGCAGAAATGTTTAGTTTAGAGAGTTGACGTATAGTTTGATGTGCAATGAAGAAAAGATTTCAATAAACCTGCTGGTTTAATATTCTTAGATTGTTTATTTTCTTGTTCATCTAAAAAATAAGAATTAAAAGATTTTGCAATAACAATGTTAATTTTATTTTGGAAAAAAAACTCTTTAAGAGTATTCGTCTTTCTTTTCTAGGTGAAATTCAACTAAGATGATTGTCTATCAGCAAGCATTGTCATCACTGGGTGACAACAATTGAGAAGTACGGAGGTCTCTAGTCCTACCGAAGGAGTACCCTCATTTTTTCTAATTCATTGAGAAAAATTTATGTGAAAACTTAACAAGCAAGAATTTAAGAAATCAAACTCTGTTAAATCGTAGTGACAAGTAATGATTACACATTACTTTCAATACGAAATCTTGAACAAATAAATATGTTGGCTAAATTTAAACTGTAAGGTTTCTAGGTCCTAATACGTATTACCGGAAAATTTCAGCGAAGTCGATTGTTTTGAGGCTAAAATAGATTTCTGAACACTCAGTCTCGAGAAGTAACCATAGGAGTACTATTTCCTTGATATTTAAACTTATTTGCGAATGAAGACATTTCGTACATGACACTATGGACTCATTTTATTAATCTTAATGCAAATGTTCACTATCTTATATTGTTTTGTTTGGAATTTTGTGAAACTTATTTCGTTGTGCAGAGTCTAGAAGGAAAATCTTAGAAATCGATATATGTAATCATAATCTCGAATAACCGGTTTACTATTAGATTTTGCAACTAAACTGCCGATGAAGATTTCGATCTTGTGCTGTGTTGTCTGTATATAGATAAGAGAAAAAAAACGATTCTTTTTTGTTTTGTTCTCGTTCTTTTTGCTTCCTCATCGTCAAAAGGCCAGCAACTCTCATTAAAAATTATCAGATCTTGTCAACCAACATATGCACCTCTTCATTGTATATTTACTCTTGGTTCTTCACGTTCCGTTTTTTTTTCTTTCTTTGAGATTACGGTAAATATTTGTGCATTGGCTTTGACTGACAAATCCAAATGGTGAATGCTACTATTATTTTTTTTATTCTCTGATAATATTCAAATAGAACATGAAGCTTAATCGTAAAAATACAAAGAATAAAAAGATTTCATTGTTGAAGAGTATTGACATGAAGAACGTCGAAGAAATTATTTGTGACTTTTTTCTGTTGTTGTTCATTGAAGTGCATCCATACTTCTTTAAGTAACCAGTATAAGAGGCAAAACGAGGTGGAACAGTCGTGATAATTTTTTTTCTTTTTTAGATCATTATATACTAATGGAACGCAACAATGAAGCGTACATGCCGCACAGTGTACCAAAGTTTTCGGCTACTACGTTCAATAATGCAAATTTCGGCATGGAATATTTCAAATCAATTGATTGTTTAGTTGTCAAGCATATGTTTTCCTGTATGGAAGGTAAATCGATAAAAATAATGATATAAACAATTTCTTTTTCTTGTTGTGATTTTTTTTCTTAGCATGGACTGGTATTGCAATGCAGGCAAAATATGACATTTATAATCAAAATGGTGAAAAAGTGTTCTATGCAATTGAAGGTAAAACTAATTATTTGGTTGATGTCATGAATATATGTTTTTATTAAAGAATCAACCTGTTGTCAACGTGTGTGGTGTACAAATACTCGTGCATTTCTTCTTCATATTCTTGATAATAATAACCAGGCTAGTGAAAAAAATATTCCATTGATCTTATTTCGATTTATTAGGAATTGATTCAAATACGTCGTGAATTTACATGTTGCTCAGGATGTTGCTGGTGTGGTAGTTGTCCATCATGTATGCAAGAAGTCGTGGTCGAAGCACCACCAGGCAATGTTATTGGAATAATTAAACAAGAGTAATGTTTATTATTCAACAAATCATTGAAATTAATTCATAGAATTTTTTTCTCATTTAGAGGTAGTAGTTGGCGAATGAACTATGTAATTAAAGATGCCCATGAACAACCTATATTAAATATCATCGGTCCATGTTGTATCTGTGATGGACCATACTCATGTTGTTGTGAGAATAAATTCACTGTACGTAATATTTCATTTAAAACTTTGAATAATTTTTTCGAAAGCAAAAAAGTTTATTTTTTCTTTTTGACCTAAAATTCAATTGAATCTTATTCAATATTTTATTTATAGTTATTTGGTAGTGATCGAATAACAGAAATTGGAGCTATTTATAAAAAATATTCTGGCTTTCTTAAAGAAGCTTTTACAAGTTCTGATGTTTTTTCAATGCATGGTGAGTTTATGGATTTATTTTGAAAAATTCAAAGACTAATTTGTGACATTGATAAATGCACTATTCATTTATGTTAAAATTTTGAATGGATTTTGTCACAAAAAAGTTGATAGAGATTTCGAATTTACACGAAATATCTTATATGAATAAGAGACCTGAATCTATTGTTGTCGTCATACTAAAAAATTCTACCACTTCTTGTGCTCAGAGTTTGAATTTCACTTACCAAATCTTCGTTTAAATGATCGAGAAATTCATCTTTTATTATTGTAGTACCAATCAATATGGATGTCAAGGCGAAAATGCTCGTGCTTGGTGCTTTGTTTTTGATTGTAAGAATACTACTAGTAATAAGCTTCATGTTTGCATTCTAATTTTTTTTTGTTCATAGGATTTTATGAATTTTTCATTAACTCCTCAACAACGAAGCTGAATGTTCTTTTATCAAACAAAATAACATTTTGATTGAAACTATCTAGGTAGTCAGGAGCTTCCGAAAACACTCGTAAACGTTCATACAATTTAGATTCTGTGTATGTAAACACAAAATATGTGCATACATATGCTTAAAACTTGCACTTTTGAACAGCTTTCACAACCACTTTTCCAGAAGAGCGTTTACATACGTTTTCTGAAATTCTTGTCTGCTTGAGTAATCATACTTTTTATGGTAATATGCACTGCTCGCTTTAGTATTTACTTCTTTATATATTCATATGTAAGTAATGAAATCTATAAAGAAAATTGGAAAGAAGAATTTTGATTGAAAAATTCGATCGCAGGCATTATTATCACTTGTTCTAGTCAGACAGAATTATGTTTATACTGAAAATAAATGACAAATTCAATGGTTATGCATAACAAGTCCAAAGCTCAATAATCGTATGTAAGCAATGGATTTTAGCAACTACTGGAACTTATTTTTTTGAGATTTTTCAATAAAGCATTATGCATTTTGAGGTAAATCAAATATAAGTCCTTTGTGCATATTTGTAGGCATGCATTGCGGAAGTGCTAAAATCTTGACTTGATTCAATTCATACATACATGTCTACAGTACGGGTTTAGTTTTTCTCCTAACCGACACCAACAGTCACACATGTTTTAACACTTCTAGATCGTGAAATTTCATTATCATCTTATTCATACCTTGTATTACATACAGAAAGAAATTCAATTATTATCTCGATCTTCAAGTCGCTTACTAAACGGTGGTAAAATTTCATCGTCAATGATATAACATCATGCAAGAAGTTATATATCATTAAATACAATTATTTGTTGACCTAAAGCTTCAGAAAACTAAATAAGTTAGTCCTAAACACATTTAAATAATTCTTTCTAGTAGGTATATTTATTAAACAACTTATATAAGGAACAATATCTTCTTAGCAATCTTATAAAGATTTTCATTTGTTGTATTCAATTCAAATTCACCCACCCTCCGAATTTATATTTATGTAATAAGTTGATGAAGTCATTACTTCTGGAGGCGATGCTTGTCAGGTTGAAGTCAATAAACTTCATTAGAATACGCTTTAAGTTATTTATTTTCGAAATGTCGCTAGCAGATGTAATAGGACTATAACAACACTTGAATAGATTTCAAGAAATTGCCTTCCCAAAAATTACTTTTCCAGAGATTTACTTATACACCAGAACGAGACTTCTTATTTTAATCTCGTTGTGAGATTGTCAATAAAGGTTTGTACATTCGAAAAATGATTTTTCAACTTCTCATTTAGTTACAAGAAGATTTTTTCGTGTTGTTCTTGTATTCATTTAGGTCGCTAACAATGAATAATTTCAGTTTTTTTAAAAACTTAAGCATACACTCAGGAAAATGTTTTTTTTTGTGTCACTTAAATAACGTTAATTTTTCAATAATAATTCAATATACATCGATTGTATAAAGTTTAGCTAAAATAAAGTTCAGAATCTAATGGTTTATGCATTTTTATTTTTCGTAATTATGTCATTAACGAATGACATTCCTCATATATGTAGCATTTAAAGTTTATTAAGTCAGTCATTTAAATCAATGAGATTGATGTATTGTACCTAAAGGTTTTGATTTTAAATTATCATAATTTTAAAGTCATGAATAAATACTTATGATTAAAAAACTATCTAGAATTATTAATTTTTTTTTAAAAACACAATCAAAATATTATCACATCCAAATAAGTAATCGATGTAACACCTTATTAAAAATAGCTTCAAATTGCTGCTCACAAAGAACGGTATTATGTTTTAACCATAGATTTGCATCTGTATTTAACTTTTCAAAGAACTGTCCAGTGATGCATAGACCAACGAGTTTATGTTCTTTAAATTCTGTTAATAAACATGCTACCATTGATTCACTCGAACATGATAATACAACTTCATGTTTCTGTTCATCGAACTGAACAAGTGCGCTTTGTACTGTAGATTCGTTAGAAATATTATCGTTTGAGATTTTTTTTGTGCTAGGTGATAAATGTGCTAAATTGACATACAAATCACGCAGTCGAAAGAATGTAGAAGCAATAATAGGTATGTGCTCTTCATTGAGTGTTACTGATGATGGTTTCGTTAGATTTTCGAGAATGGAAAGTGACGTAATTCGTGGACCAAGAAGATGTCGTATTTGTTGATTTTCAATGAATTGCCATAAATAATCAAAAGGTAAATCCAAGCGAAAAACATTAGATGCAGCATTGAGAAGAACTGAAAAATGGTTTAGATCAGAGGATATTGGTCCATGAAAAGCGATTTGAATAAGCCGAGATAATTTAGGAACATGAGGTATTGGACATTGTTCTGCTGAAAATAGTTAAATACATTAGGAAGAATAATATTTATATTTCAAAGTGAGAGCTGATCTCAGTTTGTAATCAAACATGGAGAATTGAGAGATATTAGTTTTTCTATGTCGTTGCCATTATATCTGTAGTAGGTCTCAATATACTATCACGTATCTAGATAAACAAAGCAGCACTGATATCGAATAGTTCCTAAAGCTATAACTTGATTAATTCACAGTTTTTTTTTTAATATTAACCATATACCGATTGTCGCACACCCATGCATCATTACTCACTATTGTTGACATCTTGAATATAGATTTTTATCTGTACAAGAATCAAGAGAAGACTTTTGAATGTTCTATAATAGTCTAAATCTTTCTGAGAAACACATCCAATGCCCATTGAACACTCCCATAGCCCATTACAATGAGAGAGAAAAAGGAGCAGTAAAACTTCAATTTAACACTTACACTCACTATGTAATTTTTTATGAAATTTTATTGACTCAAACGATGCTTTTTCATTCTACAATTCTCATGTTTCTTATGCAGGTTTGACAGATATTCATAGTCATTTGTGCATCATTAATATCTGCTTTCAACGTACATACCTGTAACGGCATCATCAGTATTTCTCACGTAAAAAGTCATTTCTCTGACTTGACGACATTGTGATATCATTCCTAAAGATTTGGTTAAAGTAAAACTTTTGTCGATCGTTACGTCCAACTGTTCAACACTACTATCATAACCAGTCATAGTATTCGTTTGGCATGACATTATTTTCTTGATGAACGTTGGAAATGAAATACGAGCGAGACGCCAAGGTAATGTATGCATAAACAAAAATGTATCTTTGTAGAAACATGTAACTGGATGAGATGTTGGCCATGAGGTGATAATTTCATCAATTTCATCAAAAGATATATGATGATAAAAATAAATACCATAATCAAGTTGTTGAACAGTGGAAGGAAGTACAGAAAGAATTGTGTCGCCTTCGATCAGACGTCTATCGTCGGTGGAAAGAAAAAGTGATAAATGCCGCACTATGGGTAATTGAGCAAATACTACACATAGTTTTTCGAGCATCCATAATTGCTTAGTAGATATCAGTTGGAAATGAGTAAGATAAAATAGAGGAGATAAAGTCAATTCATCAAAATATTCCCATAAACCCTCACTATCATCAAGTATTACGTCTAGATATTGAACATTAGGAACAGCATGAAAAAGAGATGATAAATCTACCATTGTTCTTAACTTGATACGCAAACGAAGGACATTGAAATAACAATCATCATGATGAAAATGTAAAGAACTTGATTGATCATCGATATATATTGTTGTGATTCGATGATTATTTGCTTGAATTAATGATCGAGCGACTGTTATTTGATTAGTTTTCTCAATTGGAAAGAGACTATATAGACGAATCTCAACAAGATAATATAAATCATGTAGAGCATCAAGAAAAGCAATTAATTGATTGTATTGATAGGAAACAAGACTAATTTTTTCTAGTTTAGGAAATATTATTGACATTGTCTTACCAAAATATTTAATAAATAAATTATCTTGTAAGATAGAATAACAACAATCAATGAGTAATGATCGAATTTGAAAACCAATTTGGGGTAGAATATTGACACATAAATAATCACTTGTTAAAATAGATGTTTTATGCAATGAAATATGATGACGATATTCAGTGATCATCTGTGTTATTCGATTGTTAAGTCCAGTGAAAGATAGAAGAATATCAGTACATAATAAATATTTACAAGTTTCTAAAAGAATCTCATCCGGAAGCATTTCCAACGTTGATTGACTACAAGAAGTTTCCATCTGAAAAAAACTGTTAGGATCGATTGTTAACGAAAATTGTATGATGATATTCTAGAAATATGATATGAAGATTTATAAAATTCGTAGGTATAAAACCTCGAAAATAGAATTTGAAGTCATTCTTTGTTCATTTCTTTCGATACATCATCAAATAATACTATTTATTTCCATTTGTGTTTGAATAAACAACTACAAAACATGTGTGAAAGAAGTCTTCATGATATTTGAAGATTTGTAAAGTCTGCTATTTCTGTTTCTATTTTGAAAAATAAGTGTTTAGATATTGTCTAGAGGAATCTTGCTTATCAGTTTGCTTATCTTTGAAACATGAAAATATCAATTCACGTAAAACTGAATAGATAAACTCTAAAAGATCATCGCTTTTTGAGCAAACACAAGTTTATACCCTATGAAGAAAACTATCTTACATTAAACTATCTATTTTTAATGTTAGAGAATAAGCGACTGGCTGATAACTACTAAAGCAAAAGAGATCGTTTACTTACACTTATTGTTTTGATCAGATAGAATGAAAGAATGTATGTTATTTAGAAACTAAGAAGTTTCACATGTTAGCATTGTCGAAAAACAAAACGAAAAATATGAATGTATTTGTTTTTTTGTATGCACGTGCACTTGCGTGTTCTATGTTTTGCGAAGTATTTAATCAAATATTATATGACGCACACACTGTTACTTGATGCTTCTCGTGAAATAGAAAGGAAGAAAAAGAAAACAGGAAAGATGTCGCGATCTGCATTATAGTCATCATTTGATCATTTCCTTGAAATTTTCGTCATGTGAAAAAAGATTTTTCAAAATCTTAGTTCGAATTCTTCCAAACGTCAAAAACTATTTCAACATCTATTGAATCTGTTAAAGAAATC